ATTTACGCTACTGCACCTATTATTTCTAATTAAACGATAAACGTGTATATAGGTTATCGTAACGATATGTATCACATATATAGTATATATAGAAGTATATATAATAAATTGCCGCAGTTTGTATAATCTAAATATTTTTTTTGCCGTAGTTTACATATCGACTTTTAGAAAAAGATTATTTTTGACGCAGTTTACCATCTCCCTATATTATACAATGTATCAACTGAAATACTAATCAAACTTTAATTGTTGACTAGATGGAAAATAATTTCACGATACAATGCACAACAGATTGACATAATAATCAAAAGTATAATATATTGCTACAAAAGGCTGGATGAATCATTAAATAAATTAGATTATATTAGTTAAAACCAACTTAAATACTTTTGGAATATTACATTAAAATAAAATAAAATCTTGTTAATAAAATTAAATCATCATAATATATTTCTCCTTATGATTGATTTTAATGTTTAAACGTAAGAATTGTATATGATAAATTATTTTAATGCTATTGAAAATATAATCTGATGACGTTATAAGTATTCAGTAATCTAAAATTAATTCACAAGGTGTCGGTATTTGATATAAAAATCGTTTGATTTTAACATTAATATTATATACATAATAATAATACAAATGAATCTATAGCTGTGGTTATGGTTTTAAATCACTTAATTAGTAATTCATATTTTTAATTAATAAACCGATTAAAACATTAAAAAAATTATTCAATATTGAATGTTTATATTTTAAATTCATCTGTTTCCGATATTATTTAATGTATTCATATTTGGAAACATACATTTTTCTTCGTTTTCCATTTGTATACAAATATAACTTTAAAAACATGCATATACATGCTTTCTTTGATATTATCTTAGTTTTGTATAAATCACTGAGAATTAAGTAAACTCATGGATCATCAATAATAAAATACAAATGATTTTTCCACTACGATTTAATTTCAGTTAAAATAATTTGATGAAATGTAAAATCGAACTATGCATTATTTACATTTAAATAATATATAATTTTAATTTGTACCTGCCATAGGAGCGTTGATCGTTAAGAATATATTAAATTATTGTTTCATATCAAGAATGAATCGTTATAACGATAATAACTTAAGTTTTTTCGAAATTGGTAATTTAAACCATATATATTGTGATTATCATGCTAGTATTTAAAATAAAAAATGTATAAATATGATTTAATTTATGATAATTTAAATATCTGTTCTTGAGATTGCTTCCGGGCAGTAAGCTCTAGACATAAACATGTGCACCAAGTGTAGCTACCCCTCTATTGGGCCAAAACTGTTTCCTTCATAATATAGAATATAAATGTTTATGTGAAAGGACGAAGTTCAACATTTATTTTACGTAAATTAAATGTTTGGTTTACGTGCCATTTTGAAAGTAGTCGTAGGCTATATTTGGCCTGTTAATCGTAATTATTGCTCATTCATGGCCCTGTACAGTGCAACAAAATCAGCTAGAAGGACTATTTACAATATTCATTAATCAAATATTGACATACAGCATTTTGAATATGAAACATTTAAAACACCTCCAAATGAAAACAAGTTTATTGTTTAAGTTGTGAAGAAAATTGTTTTATATTACATTATTTATTTTATAACAACAATATATTATTAATTGGTATTATTTTAAATATTTGGTCTTAATTTTCTGCTACCACAATGCGTACAACCATTAGTTGTGAATCATATCATTCACGATTAAACTCGTGATTTTACATCCTAATATTTTGGACTTTGTAGAAAAGTTATTAGAAATACAGTTAGAGATATAAATAAAATTACGAAGCACAAATCAAAAAAAAAAAAAAAAATATGTCGGATAAAAAACATAAACTAAGGAGCAAATGACAAAGTAATAATATAATAACAGGATTTGAGTTTGTTCAATCTATATCATTTAAGTTTTTACCAAGCCCATAATTTATAATTAATTAATTCTTATATTTTATAACATGTATGTTTTTAATTAATTTTTTTTTGTATATTGTTAATACAATTAATTTGTTTTCGCGGGATTCAATTTACTTATAAAAGGTCATTTGGGACCCAATTTACCAGCTCCCCGACTATTATCTTTACAATATCCGGTTGATATCCAGCGGGTTATATGGTAGATACGGGTTTATAGTATTATTTTAATTTTAATTTTAATTTTAACATGTTATGTATTTTAATATTCTAAGTGATGTTGATGTTGCTCATAGACGCCATACGAAATAATAATAATAGTATTATTTATACTTACACCAAAATTATAACGAGATATGAGAAGTAGTTTGCAGGTAACATATTACTGGAAATATTAAGTCCTCTTGGTATATTTTTTTTCGATCGGTTGCAATATGTATATGTAGTTATATGTATTTATAGTTTTTAATTTTAAATTTGAAAAAAATTGTCAAAATATGCAAAATGAGCATAAAAATTTTAAAATATGCACTCTTCTGAAAAATCTATCTATTATGCAAAAATATGCATATTCAAATTTTAAATCTCATATCATGGCACTGAGAAACAAATTTATTTCGCACTCTGCTATATTTAACAATAATTAAAAAAAGTATGCAAATGCAAATGAAGTCCCTAAGTCTAGTTATTACTTTACTCAGTTACTTTTTGAAATATGTTTATTTTTTTAATACTTAAATGCGCAGCCTTGAATTTCCGTACCTATACTAATTTCACCGGTTAATGGCAATTAATACTATTTATATTTCCACGATAATATAGCTGGATTGCGTTTGACCTTATGACAATCTTAATATTATTTAAAAACACTGTCTCATCGTACACAAATATTGCTATTATAGATTATGTCATCAGTCCATAAAAACAAGGAAAATAATATATATAAATAGTGCTTATCACTTGATACTGTACCTGTAGACCATTGCATAATTGAGTTTTATAAAAAATTCACCTAAATAATTTTTCTACTATGTGCTGGAAATAAAACGATTGATTATTATAAGGGAATATAAAAAAAAATATTTGCCATGAAGCAATTATAAATTTATATATATATATATATATATATATATATATATATATATTTATTAGTAAATGTTGGTATTTAGTCTTATAAGTACTAATAATAATACTATTTTTAACTAAAATATATTAAAAAAAAAAAAAATTAATAAATAAAGAAAATGTATTCTTAAATTATTGAATTATACATTTTTATCAAATAATAATATTACGTAATAGTAAATTATATCATCATATAATTAACACATTTTGCAATAGGTAAAATACATTTTTAACAATATTTTAAATAATAATTTATTTTCAAGGTTTAAATTGATGAAGTATAAAATTAATTTTCGGAGTCTTAGAATGCTTGAATTTGTTATTTTTTACATTTTAAGAAATATGAAAAAGGATTTCCTGAAAATAAAAAAACTATATGGGATTGCTTATCTATATATTTGTTACAGACAACTTGAAAAATTAGAATCTGTTAATTACTTTTATATTTACTTATCCTATTGATTCTAAATGAGAAAATTGAAATTGGTTTATTTTAAATGTAGAAAACATTTCATACTGGTAGATTACATAATTTTGCGAGTCATTAAATGTATTTAGAATGACGTAGATATAAAATATCTAAAAATTGTTAAAAGTAAAAATAAGTAAAATTTTAAGAAAAAATGTATTTATTTGTTAAAATCGTACATAATTATAGGTCATTAGATTCAGTTATTTTGCTAATGTAATACTCGTGTGTTTACGTATTACTATAGTTGTATAAATATTTGTAATCAAATTCCTATAGGTTAGGTTATATCGTGTAAGCTTTTGAGTGAATTAATATAAATTCCAAGTGACAAGCGCTGTAATCAAATAAAAATAGCTAACACGATTTGAACTAACCTAACCAGTCAGCGGTAAAATCGGGGGATGTTCCGCCATCCAATATAAAATGTCCCAACGTCACAGAATCATATTATTTTTGTTTTGTATTATACATTTATTTCATGTAGACTTTATTGGACGTAACGATTATTATTTAGTTTGTTTTAAATTAATGGGGTATTGGGATTAAGGTTATTTGAAAATAATAAAAACTACAACTGCGTGTATACAAACATGGCTAGTTGAAATATAATTTAAAAAAAAATGAGCCGCAGGTTACAGACCCCGAACTGATTTATGTTATACGAAAAATATCGACTACCCTAACAAACCGTTGACTCCGGATTGGTCAACGAAAAATAAAAAATTAAGTTGAATAATGTATGACAAAAAAATTGTTTTTCCCGGTACAATACGTCGTTTAATTGTGCGTATGCGAACATGTTTAACAATCATTCGTAACGTCGAATACGTTCAGTTTTCCGTGTTGTAAAAAACAGTCTTAATGGTCAAGCATATCTTTGCGCGGGGAAGTAAACGGTCAGCGGAAGGGTTAGTCAGTTGGGAATGAAATTTTATTTTTCTGTTTACGGCGCGACGCGTAACAATTTTTTCATTTTTTATTTTTTCGTAACGACCGTCGAGCCGCGATGACGACGCAGCAGCAACCGCGGACTCGTGGCGGTAATAATTATACCAATAATAATCGTACCGATAATAATAGCAAGAATAACGATAATAATAATTTTGCGAACGGGAAGTACGACGGTAATGATAATAATAATGATGATGATAAACGCGTGATTATTATTATTTATTTCGCGAAAATTAAAACCGGCCGTGTACTTTCACAGCGGAACCGGGTCAAGGCTGATGCGGTGTTTTTCGCCGTTGGTGGGTGACGCGGACGGCTACCGCACGCAGCCGTTACATCGACGCGGGGGACGAAACACTGAACGCGCGGGACGACGTCAACAATAACAACGGCGGTGGCGGCGTCGGCGGCGGGCGTCAGCTGCTGCATCGCGTCGGCCCTCGTCGGGACCGTTCCGACCGGGCCCGAGACCGCGGCGGCCGATCGCACGCGCCGCGATCTACGTTCCTCCGCGTACGACGGCTGACTAGCAGTAGTGCCGCGAACGGCGAGCGTGCATACGCTTTTAGTTCGCTTCATCAGGTAGTGCACGTTTCTGTCGACGATATCACTCTCCCCTAGCCGGTACACTCTTGCATCCGAAGCGCACATCGATCTCTCGTCCGATCTCGTTCTTTATCTGCAGCGCAGAACGAAGTCCGTTCGAACGCCAGTCGAAATGGCCGATTACGGCGACGCCGAGGATGAGGTGAGCATTTCGGTTGAACAAGACGATTGTTCGGGGGGGTTTTTTCCCCCTTTCATTTGTTACCCGCTCACGCGGCCGGTCTTGGATGTTATTGTCGACATTAGTTTTAAGAAATAACCTTTCGTCCCGTCTCTCCCTTCCGAACGATCGCTTTATAATGTTATCAAAAACGATATTCACCGACATAATTACCAATCGTCCAAATCGATACCGCAATATTATATCGTGTCTGTTATTATGTTACAGTTTGAAGACGCGCTAGAAGTGATTCCTGCGTGAGTATAACACAACGAGTACACAGCTTATTATTAATATTATTATTACTGTCAGTGTTATCATTATTGTTATTATAACCAACGCGTAATGCAACAGCTTTATAAAATATTTATTCTTTCCAACCTAGTTGTTTCATGTTTAGTCATCGTTGTTTGTATTATCATCAGTGCACTACAACGTATTACTGCTACCAGTTATCTCGCTGAACCATAACATCTCTCCGACGAACATTGAGAGCCTAAATCGTTAAAAATTAAAATATAATTATCATAATTTGCTACAATTTGAATGGTATAATATTTTATCTGTTACGTTTTAAAAAGTTTAACAAATTAACTCTTATGTGTGTTATGAATGTCGATGTACATTTTCTAACATAAATAATAACCCTTTTGACGTTAGTGAACAAGTACCTACACCTACTTTATTCTTAGATTAAATCAATTTTTAAAAATAAAATGTATATTATTATATACAAACTTCAAAGCGTAATAGATTTCAATATTATCGAATCTTATAAATAATATACAATTATTTTATTACTATATATAACCCTAACGTATTAAATTCCTTGATTATAAATGTATATCTAAACAATATTAACATTTTATATTTTAATAATAATGTTGATTAATTTTCTTTAATCGACATTGATCAATATTGTTTTCATTACGTGCATTTACGAGCATAAGGCTGAAGATTCGTGGAAGGTCTTAGGAGCAAATACTGTAACTTAATCAGTTACTTTTATGTTATTGGTGGTTAATGAAAATCGTTTAATAAGTGTAATGTTCAGAAGTTTTTTAAGGTTATAACAAACTTTTATATAATAAAACAACAAGGAACTAGTTCTATAGCACTACTAAGTTGTATTCGGTAGAATTCAATTATTTAATCTTCATGATTTAAAATGTTTACTATATCCCGATACCATAATAATGTATATTGGATTATAGAGTCCGATACTTTACTTGATGTAAATAAATAATTATCATGAATAATCATGTATTACAACAATAATGGTCATATAATTAAATAATGAATAATAAGACCTTGGAAATAGTGTAATATACAGGCTACTATGTATGACAAACGAAAATTGTTAAATAATGAATTATGAAGTGTCCATAAAGTTTGATATTAATTTAGTTAAAACACTATTTATACATATTATACGGAAAAAAATGCTGTATAGACCGTTTCTCATTACTTAAATTGAGAATTGATCTTTAAAGAACCAAAGTAAGTTATAAGTATTATAACAGACGTACAGAAGAGTTATATTTATTTACTTAGATTTTAATTAAGCTGAAGTTGAAATTTATAAAGCAATTAAATATTTTAATACAATGAATTTCGTTTAATGTTATCACATTAGTTTAAGCTACTTTGATTCTAATCAGTAGTTGATTCCATAAAATATTTTGTTTAATGATTTATTTTTATTGATCCTTTATTTGTATTAGTTAATCGTTGGACAAAAATCGTCCACACCCAATTGCAAAAGTAAATTTAAAGTTTTCACTTCTAAAATATAATTATTGACCGGAACATTTAAATTGTGAGTTAGTTGAAACCATCGTAACAAAAAATTCTTCTACATCGACGTGTTGTCCATTTCGTTTCCATTTTTGGGGAAGAAGGAAATGTTGTTCTCTGTATTCAACAGTTAGTATACGATTTTTTAAAAATAATTTTAATGTAGACTGGAGAATTTTCAGTGTTAATGTAGATTTTTTTGAGAACATTTTTTTAACTTCTTAAAAAAATCTACATTAACGTATATTAACGAATAAGTAAATCTTTTATTTTTTTATCGATAAATTTTACTGTTTACCTGACATTTAAGGTCAATTTTTGAACACTAAGAACTATCGAAAACTACAACTAACTAAAGGACGCAACGCGTTGTATAGTGATAACTAGGGCCAGGATTTAAATGCACTTAAAATCATACAAATATGCTCTAAAAAATAACCAAAAATTTCCTTAAAAAATGCATTTTATCATAAAAAAGAATTTAAAACTGCAAAAATGACCTTAAAAATGACAATTTTTTTTATTTTGAGCATTATTTAACACACTATTTAATACATTAAAATAACATTCACACGTAATACGAGCAACGTCTGCGAGGTAATACGAACTATAGCTGATTTGTTATTTGTTAGTTGATTTGTTATTTGACTGAATACTGGTGACGTTCCATAATCAATAATAAATTAGGATAAGATAAAAACTGAATAGAAAACTAAAGATTGATAATAACCTACTTAAATATCAAGAAAATAATTTGTCTTTTGACTTTATTTTGAAAAAATTTGTTTAGTATATCAAACAAATATGCATTAATAAACCAACATAATGATCCAATAATACTAAAAATGCTCTAAAAATGAAAAAACGTCGAAATATGCAAAAAAAAAAAATTGTAGTTTTGAAATCCTCGTTACATGAAACGAATTATTTTCTTAAAGAGCATTGTATATAATCAATCAAAAAAATATGCATTTTGCATTGAAATCCGGGCCCTAGTAATAATTAATGTTGAATGACGTAACATATAACGATGTACTGATAAATTCTTAAATACAATTGATTTTATTACTATATCAGTTATCAAGTATGAAATTCGATATGAATTTTCATTAAATAAATGATTCAATATCTAGTTAATAATAATTGGAATGGAAGATCAATTTATCTTCAGCTATATGAGATTTAGTTCAAGTTTTAAACGTTAATTCTATAAGCCATTCATTGACCATTTAAATAAGCGGAACTCACTGTATTTAAATGTAATGTACATACATAGATTTTAATAATTGTCACTTTTTATTTATTTTTTTAATATAGTTTCAAAGTATTAAACCAACTGTAAACATATACCTATAGCTAATATAATTATATAAATTACTTTAATGATGTAAGATATACAATTTAATTTGTTTTATATTTAAATTTTAAATATATATTTATATACTGAAAATATTTTTTAATTTTTAAACGTTTTTATCATTTAGTACAAGCATATTATATGACCCACTCAGATTTTCAGGTCTATAATATCTAAAACTTTATATATATATATATTTTTTTGAGCTTCACTAGCGTACATCAAACACGATGTATATATTTATTCATATTAAAATAAAATAAAGAAATACATTCAATTAAACTTAATGTTTTTAATATATTTTTTAAAAAATAATTATGTGATTTTATCTTATTTATGATAGTCGTTATCAATGACGTACATTCAAATTATTAAAATCATTTAATATTTTTCTAAAAAATAAATGATTTTATAATATTATAAAAAGAATAAATTAATTCTTGTATTATTCTATTATTATTATACGACTTAATTATTATAGACGATTTCTTAGAAAACGCACGGAACATAACCAGACTCCTAAATAGTGAAACAAAACAAATATGTTTTCAAATTAATAACAATAAAACCAAAATAATGGAACTACTCCAAAATGAGGAAATTCCCGGGAACCCAGAATAGTTAATGTGCAAAAAAGTAAAAGACTTTAAATATTTAGGAGCAACTCTCTAAGTACAAAAAAATAAAATTAATTTAAATGAAATATAGTTTTAACATATATTTGATGTTTGATGAAACAGAATTTTAACTTAATTGACGTTTATTATTTGTTATATTTATATAAATATAACATTATTAGCAAGTCAATTTTCGCGGAAATTTTCAGTTCATATTATATAAAATGTACGTAATTTATACAATAATTTTTAACGTTTTAAGTAAACTTCAAACGTTTATAAAACATAAATATTACAACTTTTTGCACAGTGGGGTATAAGTAAGGCAGAAAGAACGTCTTTCGTCAAAAATCTTCAGATCTAACACCCTTTCAAGGCTTAAATAAGGCTACACGTTGCAATAATAAGACCAACTTTAAGGTATTGTTGTGAAGCATGGTAAAGGACCAAATAAACTGAAAAAAAATTGAAAACTTTTGAAAATAAGATTTTATGAAGAATATGTGGCTCTATATACGATACAGCAACGGATATCTGGAGAAGAAGATGTAATAAGGATCTGTACGATATGGTTGGTGTAGCATCAGTGAATAGCTGGATCAATGAACAAAGAATAGTCTATAAAGAGTACATTATGAGAAGAGAGGAGAATAATATAGTCAAATCAATAATGGAATGGAAACCACTTGGAAAGAGAACTCGGGGGAGACCTAGGAAAAGGTGGATCGATTCAGTCGAAAAAGATCTAAAATAAATGGGTATTGACACGTGGAGAGAATTTGTGAATGACAGGTGAATGATAGGTGGTGCAATGTAGTTTTATCGGCTAAAACTCTTAAAGAGTTATAAAAACCACAATAGAAGATAATTATTATAAAAACAAATGAAGAGTTATTTACAACCACATGATATAAATATATATATATAATATTCTCTTTCTATGTTTGAATTTTTTCATGAACAATTTTTATGTATTTGTAGCACGTCTTTCATGACTTTTGTAACTTTTTTTTTTCTTCTAGGAGAGGAAGTCCCTGATCCCCCACCCGAAAACACACCACAGGTCGTAATTAAAAAAATGTAATTTTTATAATACCTAGATTTGAAAATGAAATAACTAAATAAAAACTTGACGTGTATATAGGAATAATAAATTGTATTTTAATAAAATAAATATACCAATAATTATGATAAGCATCAAATTTAAATACTTACTTTTATTATATCATATTTTATTGTCACGTAAGTACCCTAATTTGATAACTTTGGAATTATTTCTTTATAATACTACTCCTACTCGTTCACAAACATAAGTTGTTTAATTGTTCTACATATTTTGTTAATTTTGTAACATTTCTCCAAATGTAATATTCATTTTGTTGGTTCCATAGACCTTAGTTCCACTTTTTTTCTGCCAGATAATTAACCTTTTTTAAAGTTTAAATGAAACAAAATTTGCAGACCATATAACCTATGTGCTCGTGTAAATAACAAAATAAATATAACAATAACCCACATAAACCAATAAATAGATAAAAGACACAATAAAAAAATGTTATTTCATAAATTGTGTATTAAACAATTCGTAAAATATAAATTAGAATTAATTAAATAGTAAAATGTAGATATTAAATGTCAACAACTTTATTACAGTGACAACCCTGAGCTAGTTGTTTTCCTCGAGCTCTTTTGGGCGTTGAGTATACGAGTATAATCAGACCCGTCGCTTGGGCACAAGCAAGTCATGCGTTGCTTTAGAGCAGCATACAATTTTAAAGAAATTTATGTGGCAAAGTAAAAATATATATATATATATACAAAGACGACAATAATTACTGTTATGTGTCTTTAGTTCATTGTATTTGTTCTACTACCTCGTTGTAACTGCGAATAATTATAGGGTATTATAATTCTGATTTTTAATGCCTTTGACAAAGTGTTGCGGTACTATTTTCGCTATAGAGCGGAAAATATCTAACGACGATCCTGTATATAATAGTATATATTTTTTTATACGTAACTCCGTGTTTTATGATAAATTAAATTTTAATTCATATTAAATTTAAATAATAATTAGGTAAAATTATATACAAAAAATGTTTATATTCTATTGAAAAAATAACACTGGGAGTTTAAAAATTAAAAAAGGTAAATACATATTCTTTTTTATATATTATAATATATTATTATACTTTTTTATTTCACAAATTTAATTTTGATGAAAAACATGATTTCTAATATTTTAAATCATAAAATTACATATTATGTGTGGTGTTACACAATTTATTAATAACTGTGTACTTCATAAGAATGCCTACAGAGGACCAATTTTTGAGCGAATAATCTCTTTAAAATATATGTAATAAAACTACCTATTAATTTATTTTATCATACCGGAATTCAGTTATATTAAATTCTTATTTATTAAATATGAGTAGGTATAAAGTACTTTACTGTACTATTCGAAAATTCTCTGTTTTATGTAGAAAAATTGTTTATAGCCGTAGAATTTTTCATGGGTCAGATTTTAAGCAAAGGTCTGATATTAAGATGATTAGTAAGTTAATACATTCTAATCATCACGTTAATATTATTAATTTAAACTTAATTCATTTAAAATCACAATAATACTCTAATATTAAAGCAAACATCACTATATTTAAACTATTGAACATAAATTTGCTATGTTGTACTTGTCAAATATAAACTATACAAGTGTATGTGGTCTCATAGTATGTAAAAGTATAGTATACTATGTAAAAATATGCACATTCAAATTTTAGATTTGAAATCATGGCATCGGTAAATTATTTTATCTCGTATAGTGCTATATATTATTATATATTATATTTTACAATAAATAACAAAAGTATTGATATGCTAAAAGTCCTTGAAACCCTGCTGATCTAAAGTCGTGACTTTTTTATTTCTATCGTATATAATTTATTTAATTTATGAAATAACTATGAAATATAAATAAGTACTCAACTAGCAGTAATAAAATTAAATTGTATTAATTTAACAATTTATTATTTTAGGTAATGACACTGATACTAACACTGCATTGTTAAATGTTAAAACACTATAATTTTTAACAATTGAATACATATTTATCAGTTATGAATCATTTTTACTGTTTATTGTAACTAACTTTTTTTTATGAGCTACAATGATAAATAATAATTTGAGTTCGATTAATATAACTGATTAATTTATATTTGGTCTAAATTTATTATAAAAAATTGTATTATTATTATTTTTATAGTATTATATTACTAGTGGCTATAATTTTATTGAGGCTATGACATGCTCTCATACAAATCACAGGTTTGTTATAATAGTTTTGTATTCATATTATAAATTCATGTACTTAAAATTGTACTGCTTAAAATGTGTCAAGTAATTAACAATTTTTAGTTATTCAAAAATGATATATACTCATATTAAAGATACTAGATACTATTATTTTAATACATGGCTAAATGAAGTAACCATAACAATTATCAATATTTTAGTACAAAGTTATTGGTATTTTTTGTAAAAAAAAAAATATATAAAATAATATTACTGACAAAAATGTCCAAAATTGTAAAAAGCAATTTCGGCGCACCCCTAAAAATGACACCCTAAGCGACCTCCTGAGTCGCCTTACTCTCACCCCGTTCCTGATTGTATTTATTGTTTACATTATTATGTTGGTTATAAAAAAAAAACATGTTCATCCTATAATATTTAAATAATTCATATTTGTTTTATTTATGTAATTATTGTTTAAATTCTTACAGGCATTGCAAAATGGACTTGAACACAGCTTTAGCAGATTCAAAAATTGCTATACATTTGTTTTTTAATAATAAATTTGACGAAGCTCAACTTATACTTGAACCATGGTACGTGTAGTTTTTTTTATAATTATTTCAGGGTATATTTACTAAAAAATTAAGTGAATGTTTTAAAGAATCGCTCATAATTTATGATAAGTAAGAAAATATTAAAATATTTTCATATATATGTACACAGATAAGGATTATTTCAAAATCAAACTCTGGAGGGCCAGATCAATTTTTAATTATTAAAAAATTACAAAATATAATATACATTACTTTATATTATTGTATACATATAGTTTCCATTCAATTATATTTACTTGTAATGCCATGTTATGTATGGTTTATTTTTCTGAAATCTCCATTGAAGAACTTTAATAGGGACCTTAGCTATTGATTTACCCCATCGTGTGGCCTTTATTGCTCAATAAATAGTCACTTGGTACCTAGTTTAAGCTCCAGGGGAGTGATGTTAAATGTCATTACTAAAGATTTAACTTCACTGAATGATTAATTCGATACATTTATCACACTCAATTTTCCAACGTTTGATAAATATTACAACTTCAGCTGAAACGTTGAACCTCATGGAAATTTTTGAGTTGTTTTGATACCTATGACTATAGAACATTGTGATAGTCCAAATCTTCAGTAACGGTCATGTGTTGAGTGTTATGGAAAAAATATTCATACTTTGTTGATGCCAAATACCCTACATTCCGTTATTTATCATTGTGCCGTTAACTACTCACAATCAACGATGAGTTTTAGCCACATCGATCCTTTAAGATTTTTAAAGCCTAGTTACACTCCAAACTTCTCACAAATGGGAGATGTTATCGTTTTCTTTGTGTTATCGTGACTAATAAATATGTGCGATTATAAATAGCTCAAACTCGACACCTCATTATACATTAATACACTAATATTGTGACATATTGACTCACGTCTAAATATACATAAAATTACAAATGTGTACATACTAATGTTGTACATTGTATTTAACCTACGCGCAAACGTTTCACTGAAGTAACGCCTTTTTTTTTTTAAATATCATAATACGTTTTCAAGTTCTAACTTGAAAAATGTGTGCAACAAAAATTATGTATTATTGACAAGTTATTTTATATTTTAGTTGTCTACGTATGTAGTATAAGTGCATTTTAATTTGCATTACCTTGAGATATTTTTCAGATAAATATTTTTTCGTCTCTATAATACGATTAGTAGCTTAGTTTATTTTATGATAATAAATATAAGACATTTTTACTTTTGATTTAGACTTTTTAGTTTATTAATTAGTTTTGATTTTTTATAATTTAAGGACTAAATATTAATTTGACATTCACTCTTTTCTTGATATTTTATAATATTATTTCACCTTCAGAGTATTTTTTTATCTAACTGTAATGCCTGTAATGTTAATATTTACGTACTGTATGTGTGCAACACATACATATAATAATCGTAAACCAGAAAATTTCGTAACTGACGTAACTTGAAAATAAATTCAAGTTCACATACTATGTATGGTATTATACTTGCGTTATTATTTACTTTTAGTATTCTATAATATATTCAAAAGCTTTAATGTTTTTATCCCAGAAAAAGAACCATGTAAGGTATTTTTAATTCTTTAGTTGATGACATTTAATCCGTTCTTTTTAAATAGACATTTTATCATTAGTACCATATAAATATAGCTTGTATAGAAATGTACCATACATGACTTGATGCTGATTTCCATATTAAGTCTTTTTTAATATTTTGTATGCACACGTTAAACTTTTCGGAGTGTTGATATTTCATATCAAATTTGGCTAAATCAGTTTTAAAATAGTTAAAAAAAACCATATTACTCAGAAATTGAATGTTACATTATTATAAATAATTTTTGATTTATAATTATAATGTGTAGTAGTTCTATAGTATTTGCTTTTTACGTTTAACAGATTGAAATAGTATTTTAAAGTTTTTTTCCGGATTATTTGTTGTTGTGTTTAAAAAAAAGTCTATTTTAAATAAAACAACTGCATATATTTTGAAATTCAGCCCAGTACAAAGTATAAAAAATTTCAATTTATACTTAAAAATTCAATTAGTTTCTATATCTATAATCTGATAGTGAATTAAATTAACTGGTTAACGAAAAATATTTACTAATACCCTGATTATGAGTTTGTATACAAATATTCCGGAGTACTTAATATTTAAAAAAGAGATACATTGGTTATACTATATGTAGTATCTGGAACACTTTACTTAGTCACTTGCTTTGCTACTATAGTTTATTTTACAAAAAGTACAGTAAAATTATTTTTATTGGTAATAGTTTTATATTAACAAGATTGTTGTCAATCTAAAACCGAATAACATTAATTTTTTTCATTTATAATTATAGAATTCAATTTTACCTTGGTTGTTTGAAGCCTTGGCTTACGTTTATACATTTTATAAATTAATTTATAATATTTGATATAAAAAATAAGTTTTTAAAGTATGAGAGTTCAACACCATAAAAGTATTAGTGATCAAATATGTCTTAATAATAAAACAATATAATTTTGGAAGTAACGAAATTAAAATTAGTTCATGACGGTGTAAGTACTCAACTATACTTATAAGGACTTAAAACTTTTTTTAAGTTAACAATGTTTTTGGGATGTCAGAGTTCGAGACGACAATACGACCGTTTACAATATTCATATTCAATTATGTAGCATAAATTATTATCGATGTTATTGTTAAAAATAAATCCAGTTTATTTGTATATATGAGTAATATTAATGTTTGATTAAAAAAACGTAGTGAATCGGATATAATCACATGTTGGTATGCGTAAAAAATATTATGTTATACTTATATTACGAACCTGTTTAATGAAAATTGTATTAGGTGATTACTATATGAGTTAAACTACAGTTAAAATGTTTATGTAAATTGTTCAACTATTAATTAATGAATTTACAGGGTTGGAACGAGTATGTATCATACCATTGGGAGATCAATTTTTCAATTTTTGGAAGCCGTACTCACCTTCGAACAGGTTATTGTTCTCTTACAATTTTATTCATACACTATTAGGCTGTGTAACTTTAACGGTTATACTTAAATTGAAATAAAATATTTTTCAAGTATTATTCATGTATTAACTGTAGTATTTAACGCAATTTTTAATACTGCAGTGCTTTCGTGAATTATACTCGTATTTAAAAAATGTTGAATTTCAACGTAAGTGTGTAACGCAGTCTACATGTATTTTTCCAAGGACATGCACGTGAAAAGATTCGAGAACTTAAGTAGTCTTGATTCTGTATAGGTCTAGTTTGTGTCAAGGTTTCGTTTCATCGTCAATAACGTTATGCGTAATGCACCTATTTGTTTTAATTCATTATATTCTCGATGTAACAAAACGCAAAGTGATCACGAAATGCATGGGTATTTTATTGATAAAAATATATGTAGACATTTGGATGGATAATGAAATTATAATATTGAACTTATTCGTAAAAATGTCCGCGTAGTATTAGTTACATAATATTATAATCTAAAACTATGTTTTTTTGTTGTTATTACACGCGTTGCACAGACGAGCATACAGAGAGCCTCCGCATCATTGAAATCCAGTATCCGTTTGTGCAACTCTTACCGCAGAAAAACCACTCTAACACAGTCCATCGGAAACATAATGAAAAAACCCAACTACGATACGTATACTCCGGGTAACGCATGACCTGCCATAATATTATTTCTATCATTAATCAGTCACACCGACACCTAAGCTCAAATATAATATTGAATGGTATTGGTCCTATTTCTATCGTCCCCAGAAGAGTATATAGTGCTGATATATATTTTATGAATATTTACATGTATAATTATATTTTTGTTAGCTGTAACAATAGTGTTATATTATAATGTTTGACCGCTGTGCATTAATTAATGCCAGTATACTATAACTATTACAACACACCTAAATCAAATACAATCATCTCCCGATTGTAGCTTTTTTCCTTTTTCTTTTACTTTTGCCGGTATTTTTGTATTCATTTTTCCCTCTTACTTACTAGTCATTAAAACTAATTTTTTACCTATGGTTCGGATAACGTGTTCAGAGTATTATAATTTTATTTAAATGTTATGTATTTATATATATTTTATTTATTATAATTGTAGTTAGTTCACGTAGTTAAAATCTGTAACGTAGCTACTATTCTGTCTTTATGATGAAGAACAGATAATCTCGAAACGTGGGGTGTATTGCTTATCATTAATGTGTACAACCAAAAATAAACAATCAAGATAACGTTTAATTCGTTAATGTACTAATTAGACAACTTAATTCTTATTGGGCTAAAAAAATATTAGTATTAATAATAAAATAACGCAAATACGAGTATGTTGTGAGTGTACCATTAAGTCATACTAATATTATATGATAATACTATTACATTTTATAAAAATAAATATTAATTTTACTAGCATATAATTTCATTGGTTTGTTGGATGAGCGGGTAAAATTTCTGGAAAGTATTGCGTTATAGTGATTTAGAGTAATTTAGTTCTAACACTATCCCATACATTTGTATATTAATCAATATTGAAATGAATATTTTTTTTGTATTTTTACTTATGTGTAAGAGCGTATTGTAATCATTATGTTTCGTCATAGGTAGATTTGGGCATTAGCCGAATAAAAAATTATTGAATTAATTATTTAAATAAAAAAATGTACCGTTATTCATTATTATATGGGTTATTCTAGATTTTTCTATTCTTTATTTGGTTATTCATTGTTCAATTATTTGTTATTTTTCATAATCTTGTTTTTCTCAAATGATTCGTAGATTACTTAAAATTTCAACTTAATTGAAAATTGAAATCGGTGCGTTTCGTATTTATAATATACTAGCAGAATTACTAAGCTTCGTACGGAATAGTATTGGCCGGAACATAGTTTTTAATGGATTATTACTATTTAAAACCTATTAAAAAAACAAATAAAATGAAATTTTAAATAAATCGGCTATAGTGTTTCCGATTAGGCGATTTTTTTCATATTTACCATTTTTCGTTTTTTCTCCTTTTTATCTCTTTAGAGATAGAATTTTGGAAAATCCTTTCTTAATGCATATCCACAGTATTAGAGGAACTACGAAGTAGCGATGATGAGCGAGTAAGTGATATTTGGTTTTTATATACCTAGGGTGTTTTTGAAATCCTTGAGGCAATTAGTATACAGGTACCTACGTCCGAGTCGCCAGAATCAAAAAACGTGGTTTGACGTATCGATTTGTATGAAAATTCTGCGAAATAAAGGTTGGTAACATTTTTGTTGTTGTTAATTTATATATCTAATTAATTGCCCCGGTTTTCTAATAAAAAGGATAAAATAATAAAAAAAATTAGGGTTAACTACCTTATTTTTAAATAATATAAATTTATAAAATATTTAATAAAATTAACTTAAATTACATATTTGTGTTTAATATAATGTAACTTTTATCTGGTTTTTGATTATCACTGTAACATCATTATTTTGATTCGATAAGATAAAGATTTTATTTTGAACTTACTATTTATCAGGGTAACAGAGTTATTTTGTCAGTTTAATACTTATTGAAAAACATATGTTTTGATACTTTAATTTTAAACGATAACGTACACTAATACTAAATATAAAGATATGATTTTCATTTTGGATGAGTACTAACTCATCTAATTTATTAATTAACTATACCAATTTTTTGCGTTTAAAACTAATCTTTTTGCATACGATACATATTCGTTGGCTGCAAATTATAGTTCTAGTAAAGTAAAAAAAAAAAATATTAATTCAAAAGTAGACCGATTTCTTTTTATTGGTATACTTTTAAAAATTATAGTTATGTAATTAAATTTCAAATAATAATTTGATTTTAAATGAGACCAACTTAAACGTTGGAATCTGGCTTATAGTAATTTTATTTAATAAATTAAATAAATTGTATTCAATTATGTTTATTTTATAATGTAAAAAACAAATTGATTTATCAGATTTCTTAATTAACAACAAATACATTTCACCATCGTTTAGCTCGCAAAATTCTTGTACGAATCGATATGTCACACCATATATTTTGATTCTGGCGACTCGAGCGTTAAAAACGCGCAACAACTCCAAAATCGATGACCCATATCGGATAATATTATAAAGATAGATTAGATAAAATCCTAGTTTTGAAGATGGACATTTTTTTTAAAAAAAATCTGCATTTGGCCGTTTCAAAGAATAAGCATATACTAGTTTCTTCAATCATTTCAAAAACACCTTGTGTATATAAATTATCTGCTACCATAAAAGTCATAAATTATTTTATAATAAATAATAAGTTGATCTAATTGGTGTAGCACTCGTTATCGACATGTTGTTTACTTATACATTGGGATTTATTACATAGTAAATATAATTCACAATTTATTTTATTTATTTTTTCAGAATAATTCATATTTTTTAATCACAATTAAAATAATTTAAAATAAAATATTGTTTTTTATTTACGAAATAATCAGTTATTCATGCTTTTAGTTTTTATTCTTCATTTTGATTTGTTTTTGTCAAACTCTGGCCCACCCAACTGTTACCTTAAAGTCGTTCTGAATGACGTTTATTTAGTAGTAATTCATTATTATTATAAAGCTTCAAGTCGTAATGTTTAGTTTTCTTCTACGGAAATGACAATAACTCCATGTTTTCCTTAGACCATGCGTGTATACGAGTATATATGTATACATTTATACATGCATATATATACGCATTTACGTATATTAATATATCATTTTGTAGATATTGTTTGTTATTTAGTGAATCGCGTATGGCATTTTGGACCAGTACCATTAAACACTAGTTAATATCTTAGTATTATTTTTATTGTGATAATTATAATAATTGTTTTTATAACATTATTTAGATGAACTGCATGCGGAACTGTGTTTTGCCGAAGCGTTATTGCTTAGAGCACTGTTGACGTTTATCGAAGACGAGACGTTGGTTAGTTTCATTCGAGCAGGCATTAAGATACGTTCTTGCTACAATTCGTACAAGTACGTGTTCCACTCGTAACAATTACAATATCAATATGTGCGTGTATTCTATTTTATCACATCCTTATCTCATTTTTTTGTAATATTTATATATTATGCATTTAAGATGAAAGCACGACGCTGAAATTATGTGTCTGTATATATGCAGTGGTGTATTTTTCAATTTTTTGTGTGGGGGGGGGGGTTAAAATTGTTCTAAAAAATAATTGATTTTACAATATTGTAAAAAATATATATAATATAATAATAATGCAATATATTATCTATAAAAATCTATTTACAAGTAATTCATTTTTTTACAGTCATTACAACTAAACTTTGTAATCTTTTTATATACCTTTATAGTGAGACATTTGTCATTTCTTAACCTTTATTTATTTTTGAGGAGGATAGTTGAAACCCGTGAATCCTCTCCCCACAAATACGCCATTGTATATATGTATCTAAACCGTTCGCGTATGATGTTTTAGAGAATGTAATGTCATACTGAACTCTCGCACGTGGTCTGAAAGCGAAAAGTCTTACAAAGACCATTTTGAGAGTGGAGTGCGTCTGGGAATCGGGGCCTTCAACCTGGTACGTAATATTATTATACACTGCAATGTACTTTTGCAATAATAGTACTACCCCGACAGTATCATGACGCCACGATCTTTAGAGAGTCGCATACTTATATGATGGATTTGAAAATAAAATTATTTTATTTTTTCCATTGACAGATGATTTCTTTGCTGCCATCAAAAATAATCAAGCTACTAGAGTTCATCGGATTTTCCGGAAGCAAAGTAATGATTTACCGAAAAATGACATATGTTTTATGTGCTAATTGTTAAACAAAAATATAATCTTTCCTTACAGGAACAAGGTCTCAGCGAATTACAATCGTGTTATCAAGTAACACTCGGTTTACGTCATGTACTTTGTGTCCTAACTTTGTTAACCTACAATTTGGTCGTAATTTACGTATTCAGTCAGGAAGAGGGTGACTTGGAATTTTGTGACATCGCACTACGACAACAACTGGCGGTGAGATTTCTTTATTAGCTTAATCGTCATGTATAGTAACGTTATACCCAAATTTAGTTAACCAACAGTTTTCCGAATGACAATATTTTTTTTTAATCTTGGTTTTAAGTTGGTAGCTCCATTGGGAGCCCTCCTACATCGTGCTATTTTTCATGTTATGTAAACCTCCGCATCACTTATACTTGTGTTTAATTGTATAGTAGTATATTTTAAATTTTAATAAAAAAAAAAAAAATCTTGGTTTTAAATATGTATTTTGTTTGACATATTCAATGATAAATAATGGATATAAATGGAAAAATTTATTTGGGCACAGAAATTTCCTCGTATAATTAGACATAATGTACATACATTTTACATTTTATCATACATTTTTGTATACGGTATTTTAATGTTTATTTTAATTTATAAAATAAAACTTTATATTTTTCACAAATATATTACAAAAAATAATAATCATTAATAATAGGTATTCAATTTATTAACATTTAAAATGCATTGCACTAATCAAACGGATTACGATGTAACACACATAACATGACTAACTACGTATAACTGACACATAATTCTGTCTGGAATACTTTTGTTAATTCATATTCAGTAAAAGTGGATTTTTGACGTATATTTGAAGTACAAGATAATTTTTACGTCATACTTCAAATAAAGAAATTAAAATCAAAAGAAGGAAATATTGTAATTAAAATGATTTCAAAAATTATTTAAAATATTAATTATATCATGTTTTGTGTATCTCATTACTGAGTATTTAGATACCTGCTCAATTAAAATCGTCCGATAATATACTTTTATTATATAACTGTAGTATATCGTAAAAACCATTATGCATATTTCGCACTGATTATTCATCGTTATTGTTATGGTGTGCAGTTGTATCCAAACGGTGCTTGGTTCTTATACCTCAAAGGACGATTGGAATTCATGCGTGGTAACATCGAAGAAGCACATAAGTGGTATATAGCTTCGGTAGATTCACAAAATTCGTGGCCACAGTTTCATCATATATGCTACTGGGAATTGTGTTGGGCCAATTGGTATGTATAATTATGTATATTATATATTATAAATTCAGAGACGTGCGCACAATTTCAGCTCAGATCCAGCGAACTTTATCTCCTGTAATATTTACCCAATTCCGAAGAAATCAATATTTCAAATTCAATGTGATATTATATTCGTATTGTGAACAAAATATTGATTGAATGGAATCGATGTTTAAATTAATACAGTTGTTGAATTGAACATTCCATGAAAATCATTAAGCCGATTAATTCTTTGTTATACTACAATTCTCCGATATTATCCTTAAAACTTCACGGTAATACCTATTACTTATGATATGTATTTGAATTCCAATCCCTCTCTATCGTAAACGAGTTCAAAATTTGTATTCCACGAGAACTACCGTTCCAATGCTCGATGTGGTTGGGTGCATCAAACGCTCGCTCGCATAACTAGCTCGCGCTCGAGGTGTGCGTACTAGTTTAATGAAATGTATAAGAATAATGCAATAATGTTGCTTAAATGTCATGTACATATGTATATTGATACGAACCGGAGCGTAATTATAGTGTTAATCGTTTCGATTTGTGAGTTTCCGAGATTTCAATAATATATGTAACGAAGTGAGTGTGTAACGTATATTTATTGATACATATGTATATAATACACGTTTTAGTGTTGCTCTAAACTGGAAAACGGCTGAGGTGTACGCGACCAAGTTGTCGGAGCAGAGCAAATGGTCACGCACTACTTACAACTATCAGCGCGCGTGCATCATGCTCATGCGAGGATACAATTGTCTGTCCAGGGACGAGCTCAATACCGTCAACCAGTTAATGGCGTAAGATCAATGAACATATGCGCATTGTGTGCATAATATTATATAATATAACATATATTTCGGTTTTGAAAATTCCGTACACAAACACTGACTGTTATTTTCGTTTTATACTGCAGTGATGTGCCCAAGTACAAGCAGAGGATCGCCGGTAAATCGTTGCCCATGGAGAAGTTTGCCGTGAAGAAATCTCAAAGGTTTACCAATCAAAACAACCGGCTGTTTTTGCCTGCCATCGAACTTCTATACCTATGGAACTTATTCAATGTATTTGGCAAGCGCAAATCATTGTACGACAACCTGTACAGGCTCATTGACAAAAACACAAAAGACCTCGAGAGGAATCCTGGTACAGTTATTAATCGTGTATACACTTATTGTTCCTTAATGTGCAAAACCGCAACAATTGTAACATTGCTTTCAACCATGGCCATAATATATACATTGCATAATGTTCATAATATTTAGTGTTACTTTAAGCCCGTATACTTAATCTCCTATACGTATATTGTGTACAATACTGAAAACAAATGGTTGTTACATTTTGGTGTACCAATCTATACTATAATTCATAACACATTATATTAGTAATGGGTCGAACCCTGATTTTTTAAATCGAACCGAACTTTAAATTATATTTTCGAACTCGAACTGAACCGAACCTTTATATTTTCTACCAAACCGAACCGAACCGAACCAATTATGATTTTAAGTTGAACTTAAACTCGAACTCAATACTTTTTATCATGTACATTATACCTAGGTACCTACAAATTAAATCAACCATAATTATTAATTACCATTGTATTTTAAGTTTTCGAATTACCTATTCTACATTTTAACTTTTAAGTCTAAGTAATTGTATTATTTACAATACATTTAAATTTTAGATAATTTCTTATCATTATTATTTTTAAAAACCTGTATTGTGCTCTCTCGTGTTGACTTTTAGCTTATAAAATATTATTTGCGCATTGAGTATTGAGTGTAATATGACAATACAATCAGTACGTTTAATAATATATAAAAAAAATAGTAATAATAACTATAATTCACAAGTATAGAATAATTAGTAGAATTTACAATGTAAGACGTAAGTTGTAAAAATATTTTTATTATAGTCGGGAGCACGAAAAATTATCGCTGCTCGTCATGCGCCAAGCGGCTATTTTTCTAAAGTGGTTATCAAATCTATGCTCATTGTTCATGTTATCGCCACAAATATATAAAACAACTATATATACATATACCTATATCTGTGGTTATCGCTCATTATTCGTGTCCGTGAATACGATACGTAACGGCAACGTGACGGTACAAAGTTTAGAACCAATAGTTACAACAGTGGGTACAAATAACGGATCGCGGGTACCAACGCTCATTTTTCGTGCTCCCAACTATAACAGTGCAGTCGCGGTATCGGAATATTACCATGGATTTACGCAAAATAGATTTTAAGCTCTACAATAATTATGATAAAAACAAAAATAATTATATTATGAATGTAGATACACTCGCTCTATTGGCGATAAACAACTTATTAATATATTGGTCGGCGGAGGGTGGATGTGTAACAGGCGATTGGAAAAATAACATTATTATTATAATAATAGCATTATTGTTATAAATAATGCATAACGTGCCCGCTACAGATTATCACTTTCTATCGCCTATAGTCTAATTATTTCTAAATAATCATTATCAATTTTTATTTTTCAAAAATAACTTTTGAAGAATTGTACAAATATTTGGTTTTCGAACTATCGTAGCCAGTAAGTCTGGTTTGAAAAATATTTTCAAGTTCGATTTTCGAACAGTAAAAGATGATTGATAGTTCGCTTCGATTTTTTTCATGCCGAGTTCGAATTTCAAACCGAACCGAACATCAAGGGTTAGGTTCGGTTCGGTTCGAGCCATCACTACATTATATAAAATTTAATGTATTAGTATAATGCTATAATTATCAATTACTGATAAATGTTAAAAAGTCTAAGCCATAAATCATCAAATTATAAAAATATTAAATATAAAGGCGTCAAATTACTCCTTTAAAAAATGAATGATGCAATCAAAATGCATGTTATTTTTACAAGAGTTCTAATATTTTCCAATCTGTTTCAATTACGATTTACCGATTTTAAAAAAACAGACTAGTGAGAGGCTTTTTTTTATCATAAATAATGTTACATTAAATTATTGAACGGCTATTAACTATAAATTCCATACAATAATATTCTAGAATACACATATCTTGCGATAATTTATATATAGTTGTTATATTATATGTATTAAATAATATTTACATTTTTTTTTACCTAATTACCTATTTAACATTCGATTTTTTTAAACTATAAGCATTTGAGAAATCGTTATAATTGGCTGTATACAAACTGAAGAAAAAAAAAAAAACTAATTCTTAAGAACTATTGTCTCTATACACTGCTAGTACTTAACTGGTAATTAACTTATTTCTAGAGCTTCTTCGAAAAGTGCAATGTTGCGATATGTCGTTTCTGGTCATTGCGTGCGTAGTATCAAATTTATGCAACATAAAATCAATACAATTAGGCATAGTTTTATGTTAATTAATTGTGAATAGTGGCCGTCAAAGTCCAATACCCTCGCGTTAAGCAATATGGTTTAAACTATATACTATAAATTTGATACATTATTATTGGTGGAATATTTTCAGTGTGTTTGTAATATATTTCACTTTTTTTTAATATAACAAGATTTATGTACAATATTATATGTAATAATTTCAATTAATGAAAGATTTCGACATGAAAAGATTTTTTTATGGAGAGGATTACATAACGCCATTATTCTTTAGCTTGAATAATTAAATTATTTTTAAAGAAAATAAAGAAATTTTATTAAATTAGAATTAATTATAAAAAGTTATGTGGTATAATAACGATTTGGCTATAGTTATGACATTAATGAGTAAAAAATCTTATAGTAATACCTTATATTATTAGTTTAAAATTTAAGATAACCGTTGTTTAAAGTACAATTAATATTCACATTTTTTTTAAGAAACAATTGCATTTGATTTTATTTAAAACAAAATCTTAAATTTTAAAAACGGCTGTTTTCAGTGTACTTGGTGAACACTAAGCTGGCATATTTTGTTAAGTACCATAAATCAATCTATAATTGATAATGAAATTCATTGTGTACAATTCATCAACATTAGAAAACTAAATTTTGGTCCATCTAACATTTTCCGTAACGTATTCGTATGCATTTAAAATACATAATGGTAATACAAATCAGTAGTAATATATATTTTATGTCGACAACTTGTGTGTAGTGTTACTCAATATCAATGGCCTGTCGAATATTAAAGTGTTTTAGTTATTATTGCACTAATGGCAAAAAAGGATTGTGTGAGGAATATTACATCGGATATGTTTCTTACTGTTGCAGGACAATATGGCAGTGAATACGAATACGATAACAAAGCACTTGGGTTCCTTCTGAAAGGCGTTTGCTTGCGTATTATGAACAGTCCTCTGCACGCCGAAGAATGTCTCAAGTCTGTTGTGTCTATGGAAAAAAGAATCAAAGAGGATCGTTATCTGGTGCCATACGCTCATGTCGAGCTGGCGTTTTTGTATAAATCCAAAGGAAATCTAGAAAAGGCGGCGCATTACCTCGAAACAGCCAAGTATGAATTAATTAATATGATTACTTAATAGCAAATGTTTTCTATATCTAAAGCAATATTCGTGATCTGTTTTTATTTTTGATATTTTAATCTTACACTATTATACTTTATGATCATTATTACGCACCATGTGTCATGTACATAAATATACATTAATTATTTGTTCGCAATAAAATACTTAAAACGCGAGATAACCTCAATCATGTTAATATCAATAAACATTTTAACATACTACGATAACGATAAAATTCTTGCAATCATTAACAAATTTAAAGTTTCTTAACAGAATAAAATTATAAAATTTCTATATTGACTAAATGATCAGTTCAATAATTATCTCGTGTACATATTATATTTTGTATATAAAATTTACAAACGGTTTTTTCAGAAAAAATTACTCCGGTTATTCGTTAGAAACAAGACTACATTTTCAAATTCATTGGGCATGGACCACTTTAAACGAGTACAAAGCGAAAATTGCTAACAACAAAGATCTCTCACCCGAATCTAAATTGGACGACAACCAATGAAATCATTTAGTACATGTTAAAATTATTTATATTAATTATTATTATTATTACTAGGAATGTGAATGTTTGTTTTAGTTATACTACATTTTATGATTATATTTTGTAAATCGTCATTATACTCGTTGTTATTTAATACGTTTAGGGTTAGCGTATAAAACTTATATTAATTATATTTTTAAACATATATAATATATATGTATGTTGCAAACTTATTTTTTAACGCTTTTTCAAAAAGACGACGACCCCAGAACTATTTTACACAATACTTCGGGGCCGTCGCCATAATTGATTGTATAAAATTGGTACATAACAACAAAATAAAACATAATAAATCACAAATATGGGGGCCTATAACCAACCAGGTTTAGCTTTGGCCTACAGGTTATAACTTAACTAAGTTTTTCTTTATTCGCCTTTGCCCGTAGCTGCCGGTATGCTTTAAAATAACTGCTTCCCGGATAGTGATCAAATTTCCTCCTCTCATCTTATCATAGAACGCAGTTGGCCGCTCTCTTACACTCCTTGGCCATATGCCCGTCACCTCCACAATTAATGAAATTCTTGCTCCGTTCTTTGGCTTTTGCAAGCCGTCGCCTTATGAGCGTATGCATGGCATCGGTAATATCTGTCCCAAGGCATTTTCTTAAATCACACCCGACTAGAGACAAGTCCGACCAGTAATCGGTTACTGCGGACGATGTTACTTTCTATGTTTGCTGAGAAAGAGATCACTCTCCTGAGTGTGCCCCCGAATGAAAGGAACAACCTCATGACTGTGATCTCCTCCGCTAAGCACTCGTTCATGGCTCTTCGGATATCTTCCCTGACATTTTCCTGGCTGATACCTAATATTTTGATTGCCATTCTCGTAGTCGCTTCTTTTACGATCGTGTAAGGCTGCTGGTCTGAACACTGTTTCATCTGTCCTTTCTATGTGCACGGTAATGTTGGATGCTCAATAACTTTATATGTATAAAGACAACAGCGTCTCTGATGAATCTGCTGATCCTCTTATCGTTGTTGATCTTTTTCACTTCGTGGATTTTATCCACATGACCAAACAAATGGCGTAGGTTTTTAGATGAAATAGTGGTCTTCTCTTTTTCTTCAGCCACTTCAGTGAAGCTTAGATTCGGATGGAAATCCAAGCGCACTTCTGAAGTCAAAATGTCGTTTCTCGATGGTGCCTGGTGTTCTCCCCTTCACCAGCGAAAAGCTGATTGTCCTCGTTTTCCTATACTTCTTTTCTCTCTCTTTTTAGTCTTGAATATCTAATAATCCCGTTGACACTCAAGCCGAACCACGAATCAGTCTTGCAACCCTTAAGATCTATCAACTTGCTGTCGTCAGCATTTAAGTTGAAAATATAATCCACCCTCTTTTCTCATCTCTTACATCCCTGCTTACGCGTGTAGGTGTTGCAGTTTTTGTCATAGTGACTTTCTTCGATGAACTCCCGAAGGCACTGGTCCTCGGTGTTGTTCGTCTGTGGCTTTGATGCTCTTCATGACGCTTCGCTATTTTGTTTTCGCTCCAGTTGGGATTAGAGTGATAGGGGCCTGACCGGCCACCCCCGCACCATCGTGGTTGCCGACTGACGACTGGAGTGGACCCGCTACGTTGGAACCGAATTTTTTCTACGGAACTACCCACTCCTGCCGGCCTCTGAGGCTACGAAGCCCCTGAGGCGGTAACAATGTTTGACGTAGACTTGCTCATATTGTAGTTTTGAAAGTGATATCCTTCACTGCATTATAACCCTATTGCTAGGTGGTTTTTTACTAGGGTTTTCCTTCCTCTAGGATGGCTGCCAGCTATAAGCCCGTTCTACCTTTGAGATCTCTTAGTAATCCTCTTAGTCCGTGACCTTTCCGGTATGGGTGATCCTGCCGGTATATTTCATGGAGTCATAAGGGATGCAAGCTCCCCAATCACCGCATGATGGGTCTCGTTGGGGGAGATATTACAATAACTATAAGCCATAATATAGTAATGTGAGTTGACGACTAGCGTTGAAACACATTAGTTTTGAATTTCGACTGCTGATATTTGAGTTATTGACTTGGTATAACTATAAACTACGTTACAAATTACTTATTTTAATCCTAAAATATATAGAAGTCTAATGGCTTTTTTATTTTTATTATTATTATTATTAAAAAGAAATTATATGATGAAAAATTACAAACTAATAATGCATGAAACGTTTGTATATCTTGCTCAATGTATTATATGTGATTGTATTTGTATTTCTGAAAAGACATTTCATTAGCGTTTAGCAATAATGACACACTAAAAAGTTATATAGGTATATTGCTATATAAGAGAATAATGTAACACTCCTTTAAAAATGAAATGGAAAAAGGGTTTTATTTATTATTTTTACTGAATATCATATAGATGTAGTATAAACAGATGTGTTTTATAAAAATATTTAAGTTTAATACTAATAGGTACCTATCTTATTTTATCTTTTTGTTGTTGTTCATATTTGTTGCGTAATCATAGTTATAATATTTATCCATTATAATATTTTGTTATAACATTATATTTTATATACCATTATGACTGTTGAAAATAAAATATTACTATATTCTGAAATATAATGAATTTTATTCAATATTATTTTATAATAATTCCTTTAAAAAAAAAACAAAATTGATCAATGGTGTGTAAGTTTAAATCAATGAACAGTTTAATTATTACGTCTGTTTAATATTGAATATAAATAATTTATACTTTAGGTATTATTAAAACTTTGGTGAAAATAAAAATAAAATTATAATTTATTAAATCCCATCAATCTATAGGTATCAAAATATTGAAAACAAATTTGTTTAAATAGAAAGTAAAATAAATAATTATAATTTTTTTTATTTTAATCAATATGGCGCCATACTAAGAATATAAAAAATTATATACATTGACAAGGGCGTCCACAGATGAAAATTCAGGAAGGGACAGCATGGATTTTTATTAATAATCAAACACTTTTATTAATTAATTGAACACAAATTACAATTCTATTTTATTTTTCCCAAATTCAACACCTTTTTCAGCTAAAAGAAGTTTTTCGATTTTTTCCTGTGTAAAATTAACATACATAATTCGGATTCTCACACATTGTTGAACGTAACCAGCTATAAATATTAATACACCTTGGTACTAATTATGATTTTTGGGATATTTAATTTGGATATAATTATTTTAAATAGCTAAAAAGCTAGGGGGGAAGTTGTCCCCCCTGCCACGGGGGACATTATATGTCCCGAACATATAATTTATGCCCCCCCCCAAAAAAAAAAAAAAAATAATGTAACACTTATTATTTCCTCCATTATCGAGATTTTTAATATTAAAATATAATTTATAAATTAAAATCGTTTAATACTTTTTTTTTAACTAACAAATTATAATTTAATAAAAATACAATTTTTTTTTTTAATTTACAAATTATAACATAATAAAACATACTATTTTCTTTTCTTATTGTTTTATTATTTTTTTCATTATTTTTTATTAGTTACATTATTTTTAAAATTAATTTTGCTAAAATATTTTGCCGCTCCTGGTCATGTGCCTACCCGTGCTCCTCCCCCATAAATACGGGCCTGCCTATTACGATACTTATTTTTAATCAACGTGTTCAACGATAAAGCTCTCTCCACAAACAGTGCTGGTTATCAAATATTTTATAAATAATACCCAATAGAAAACTTATCGCGATCCAATATTGGGTCACGACCCACCGGTTGAAGATCTCTGCTATAATCAGTATGATTTGACTATATGCCTACGACATATACATATGAGATATATATATAAATAAATTCTATGAGGTGAGGGAGGATTGGCTTTATTTTTATCCTCCCCCTTGAACATCAGATATAACCACGGTTTTTTGGTCTCTTTTTTACAATTTCGTAAAATTTTGTTAAAATCAACCGCGTAGCCAAGGATCTATGTGAAACCGTCGCCGTCGACACCGAGTGCCCATCACGCGGCTGACGAAGCCATGGGACCCTGGTACTCGAGAAACTGATTCGATGTCGCCATAGTTCGGTGCTTCGTTGACGTCTTTCTCGTTTTCCGTCACCATTTTATTTCTAAAAACTTGAATATTTTACACAATATATCTATGCAAGCCCGGATTAAGGGGGGGTCCAAGGGGGCCTCGGCCTCCAGGCCTCGATAGTTGGAATTTATTTAGGAGCCTCAGATTTGTCTATTAATTTATTCATTTAGCAGAACATAATTTACCTAAAAATAAATCAACGATAAATTATTATTATTATTGCCAACGACATTATTCATTGTCAATTATGTCAAATAAACCTCTTGTAATAATTTATAATAATATACATAAACTTATTAAATGTATAATGTGTATAATACCTACCCGCATATATACCCGTATACCTATAACATCAGTAATCAATCTATCAATCAGTAATCGCTTGCCCATCAATCGAAAGGGCAAAAGCTATTTTTATACACACGTAAATACTAAATTTATTGTTATCTGTTATCGTTTATTTGTTTTGACTTTTGTATAATGTTTAATGGGTTAATTTTTTGATGTTTCATTCTCTCTTCATATTTTAAAAATGAAATGATATTTTGAAAGTGGTTCTTCAAAACGAAAAAGAAAAGAAAAATAACAAATTTAAGTGAATAAGTAAAGAGGATTAATAAGCAATTGTGTTTTAAAACCAGGTAAATACTTTTATTTTGTATATTTATGTGAATAATCATAATACAATTTAATGTGTTATACAAATATAGAAAATATAAATTGCATAAATTTATGTCAAAAAGAAAATAATATTGCTTAGCATAAACACAGAGATTTAAATTTTATATTAGTTTTGAGAATTATTGATGATGTCTTACATTAATTTACTATGGTACTGTTACTATAACTTATTATATAATTTGCAGTGTCATAATATTAATTTACAATCACTTTAAAAAAAAAAAGAATTTTTCCAACTTGGTCATACATTTTAAGTAAAAATGACAAATAAAAATATAAAATAAAAAATACATGAACATAAAATATGCATTTACTACAGTAAATGCATTTATTACATTTATATTTGAAATTATATAGCATGTAAAGTTAAAAATGACATTATTGTAGTAAATGCATAATTTATGTTCATGTATTTTTAAATGTAGGAACACAAAGTTTAATATTGTTTTGTATTTA